CTTCTGGAAGCCCAGTTTCTGATACAATAATTGCAAACTCCTGACTTAAACTTTCAACCAATACGGAGTGTAGCAGAAGCTTGTGAAATTCTCTTTCTTATAGCTGCTACATAATTTCATTCTTTTTTCACTATTGAAGAGGGGTTTGAGATAATGGTTGAAGAAAAAAGATTTAGTATGTTTAGGGTTTAGAAAGAAAGTAACAGGTAAATACGTATGTTCCTTTAAAAAAAACATTCTCCAGTTTTGAGACATCATAAATATGTAAGTGAGGGCTCTTTAATTACTGCCCAGGGCTATAAACTCACATGCTAGTGGGGAGGGAAGAAGGCAAAGAATAATTCACTTTTTTTTTTTTTTTTTAAGAGAGTGATACTGTGTCTTTACCTCAGAAAAGACAGCAGAAGAATGGGGCTTTTTATTGCTGAATTACCAGAAGGCGCTGGGAACACTTCTTTGTTTGTTTATACTTCGGGACGGATTTAGCAGTACTGTACGACCTTTCTGGCTAATGTGTGCACCAAAAAGAGAGGATTTGTTAGGAAGCACTGGGTAGGATTCCCTTCTCTGTGCCACTCTGCCAGTACCGTTAATCCTGATCACAGCATCCCCTGCTATCTCTGAGCTGCTCACAGCTCCTGAACCTTAGCATGGGTCCTGATGCTGGTACAGCAGAGGCTAGCGAGGGACCCTGCAAAGTCACTGTCACTTGTGACCTTAAGTGCTTGGCACTTAACTGAGTAAAAGTCTGCTCTTCTTCAGCCCTGCTGGCCTTTCTGTATCTTAAGCACTATTATTTTCAAGTAAGGTGATCTTGCTGCTACTTTTAAAACAGTGAGAGATTGACAAAAAGGGCTTTTTTTTTAAATTTCAAGATGGGGATGTTCACATGGGGAACAAGACCAGTGTATAGCAGTATCTGTGTAGTAGATATAGTTACTAGAAATTTAATTCTGCTGGTACTTTTTGCAGACAAAATGGTCTGGTGTCAAAATGCTTATTCTGCCTTGGTAAAACTTCAGATCCACATGATAATTTTCACTTTCCACATTTAATCTTTTAATTCTTGCCAAGGCCTATGAAAGAATAATTTTCAGATAATAATGGTTTCCTGCTAATGAGCTCCGCATTTTTTTATAGCAGAAATGACTTATAGCCAGTATGCTCACTGAAAAATTTATTGTATTTGATGCTCTTGTGATTTATCTGAGAAAGGTAAAAATGAGTCTTGTGGGGTGGATCTGGGGAGGCAGGGTTTTGCAAGTACAAAGTGTTAATGTTGTTGTACATGGTGAGGCTTCATATGTACAATTTTGGCTGTTTGGTTCACACAACAAGTATTTATTACCTGGGAGACTTAGTGGACTGAGGAGCTTCTCTTGACCAGAAGAGAATTAAATGAGCTTGGACTGGTCAAAGTAGCAAACCAGTGGCAGTAAAAGGCGAGTGGGTGTTGTTCATGCAGTGGAGAGGAAGAGGTGGAGGAAGCCTGGCAGGGCAAAAACTGCTTTAGCCAGAGAGCACTAGTGACCTGGGAACAAGTGGACTTGAGTATGAAAGTGAAAATACTCCTACCTACTATGGGGAGGGCGAGAGTCAGAGAACACTTTTAAGCAGGA